TTATTTATTATTTATTATTTATTATTTATTATTTATTATTTATTATTTATTATTTATTATTTATTATTTATTATTTACTAATTATTATTATAAAATTTACTAATTATTAATTAACATTTAGCATTATCATATGACGCCTCACCCGTTCGATTATCTAAATATTTACCTACTTTACCTTCCGATCATTCAATATGTATAGCGATAGGTGCCATGGCTCATGGAGCTGATAATTTTGCTGATGATTGGATTGATCAGAAAATTGGAATTTCTCAATATCCTTTATCTGCCGCGGTGGCTTGTTCAAAATTTTGTTCTGAATTAGAATCATTTTGGGGAATTTGGTAAAATAAATAAAAATACAATATAATATAATATATATTTCGATGATTTTTTATGGAAATATATCTATCACATGAATTAACCGAAGAAAAACAATTAAAGTTGGGTAATTTTACAGTGTGAAAAATTGTATATGCATATTTTATATGTATATGTCTTAACGATCGCGAAAATTTAATTAAGTAGAGTTAATGGAAGAACAACATAATTTTTTTTGGATAGTTGTCTCTTCCAATAAAAAATGGTCATTTCGATATATGTATACTTTACTATAAGTTAAAATCTCATAACTTTGTTACTTTATTTGAAGAAGTAATCAAAAGAAACAATACAAATATTGTCTATTCACTAGAAAAAAATGCCTTCCGCTTTTCCAATAAATAATTTTATAATATACTTACGCGAATTCTGGATATCTCAGCATTATGTAACATTTCAAAAATATCTAATGATTTAATTAACCCAACAAGACAAGACAGTTTCATAAAAATGATATTCCCTTCCATTTGACAACTTCTCACCGAATCTGTCACAGCACGACCTCCTGGTAGAGATGCCATCCTATAACTAGATAATGACTTGCCACCTTGCACAATTCTTTCGTAATGAAACCATATATTCAAAAAAAAACTATAATATTATGTGCTGAATAAAATTCATTAATAAAAACTCTATAAATCATACTGTTTGGTTAACTAAAGACAAATATATATTTTCTTTTTTCTTTTAATATGTAAATAAAAAGATTAAACAAAAAAAAAAAAAAAAAGGTGAGTATACATTTTCAAATGAACACAACAAGACAGTCCTTTAAAAAAAAACAATCAATCTTACCAATAAACAGTAATTAATATATATCTCTTTCTCTTTTACTTTAATAATGAAACCAGGAGAAAAGCGGAAGAAAGTAAGGAAAAAGTTTGAAATCTTTAATCTTGATCCGGTATAATAGATATATTTTATATTAAAATTTAAATTTATTAAATTCCAAAAGAAAAGAAAAATCAAAAAAAAAAAATAAAAATAAAATAAATTTGCAAACGAAAATGAAACGAAAATAAAAAAAAATTTACAAAATAAAAAATAAAATAAAATAAAATAAAATATTTATTAAACGATTGGATTAATTTCATAAAATAAAGCAGCTTCAGTACTTGACCCTTCCCATCCTCTATTTCCTGATGTGGTAATCATGTAACGACAATTTGGATCGACCACTAATATAACAATTAAAACAATTAAATAATTAAAAATTAAATCATAATAAATTAATTTTAATATAGTTAATAATTTTAATATAGTATAATTACTTATTTGTGATATTGTTCCACCATGATGTCCAGGTATGATAAGAAATCGAACAGCCATCTTTGAAAATTCAAATTCTTCTGATACATTCCATAATCTTATATTATCGGTTGAAGCACTATTTAATTGATTTAATTATTATTATTATTATTATTATCATTATAAAGTTAATCAATTAATTAATTTAAAAGTGATTAATAAATAAAAATAAATTAAAAAATAAAATAAAAATAAAGAAAAATACAAAATAATATAAAATAATAAAATCTTAAATAATCGATAGAATTACCATATAATATGTTTTCCATTAGGCATACTAGATACATAAGAAACTGGACCTGATCCACTTGGCATTTTAAGTGAACGAATGAATTTTCCTGATACAAAATCCCATTCATCGACTATAAATAAATAAGAATTATAATAATTAATTAATTTTCTTTTGCAAAGATTAATAAAAAGAATATTATTATTTACCTGTCCCATTACGTCGACCACAATATATTTTATTACCATCAGCACTCCAACATGCCTATTATTATTGTTATAGTTATCACCATCATTTATAATTTAATAATAATAATAATTTAATAATAATAATAATAATAATTTATAATAATAATAATAATAATAATAATAATAATAATAATTTAATAATAATAATAATTTAATAATAATAATAATTTTTAAACACTTACCGACAAACACCAAGGCGGTACCTTTTCTGGGGGAGACATTTTTCGAGGGATTGAATTTGACGAAGAAATTCTTTTATCCCAAATAAAACAAGTACCATCAATACTTGTAGTAAGAAGTATATCATTAGAATGAGGTAATAAATTATCATCATCTAATAAATTTTCATCATCATCATCATAATGTGATGGTGGTAATGATGGTGGTGGTTGTGGTTCATCAAATAATAATGGATTAATTGTTAATGGATTATTAATTATTGATGGATTAATTGTTGATGGTGAAGTAATTTTATTATTACTATAATTGTTATTATTGTTATTATCAATAATAATAGTATTATTATGATGATTATTATTATATGATGCACCAATTGGACGAAATGCCAATGAACTAATTTGAGAAAGATGACCCCCAAATTCACGTACAACTTGTCCAGTATTTAAATCCCAAAGCTACAGAATTTAATAATTTGAATTAGTAATTGAATTAATAATTAATCATATTAAATAATAATATTATTATTATTCCGATATATTTAATTTATTAATAATTATTTACCAATACTGTTTTGTCCCATGAACCACTCACGAAACCTTTTTCATCGTGAGTAATTTTAAGAATTGATACAGGTGATTTATGTTTACGCATTACGTGATGACATCTTCCTTCTTCATGTCTAACCGAAAATAAATTTATTGCTCCACTCTAATAATTAAAAATAATATATATTACGTATAATATAATTATAAAATTATTATATTATTATAATTATTAAAATTATTAAAATTATTAAAATTATTAAAATTATTATAATTATTATAATTATTATAATTATTGAAATTATTATAATACCTCTAAACCACTCAAAATCCATACTGCCTCGGATTGAACAGCTAAACTATAAACAGGTGAAAGTTTATATTCTGGTGGGTCTGGTTGAATAGTATTTTCATCTCCTGTTCCATTAACTACTGCTATATTATTATTATTATTATTATTATTATTATTATTATTATTATTATTATTATTATTATTATTATTATTATAAATTATTATTATTAAATTATTATTATTATTATTATTATTAAAAAATTTCTAACCTGGTTTAGGATTTACCGGTATTTCTTCATTTTCCCAATAGGATGATATCACACCTGCCTATTATAATTATGATAAATTCATGATGATGAAAATAATTCGTTAATAATTTCGTGATTATAATTTTAATGATAATTTTCGTGATGACGGTGACGGTGACAGTTGATAAAATGATAATTATATGATAATTTCAAAACAAAAACTAATGATGTAGATAATAATAATTATATTATTATTATTGATGATGATGATGATGATGATGACAGATATATCTATTATCACCTTTTGAACTGATTCAACTTGTGCGTGCTTTTGATTTTGTGTTAATAATGTTTTACCACTAATTGAAGCAAAAAAGTCATACTTTCTTATAAAGCCATCTTCTCCACCGGTAAATACCCATCGCATATTTCTGGTCGCGTCAAGTGAATGTATGTGACAGGAATGAATTGCTGCTACCTAATAAATTTTATTTATTATTTATTATTTATTATTATTATTAATTATTATTATTATAAATTCTTATTATAATTATTATTTATTATTATCAATTCTTTTTGGATTTTGGATTTTTTTTTTTTATATATAATTATTAATTTATTATTTTTTTTTATGTATCTTACATATGGAACAATGTCATAGCTTTTACATTCATCAGCAAATGGTTGAAGTGTTCGGTTTTGTGGTAAAACTATTGCTGTGGTGGTTGTAGCTGTTGTAGAAAAATTTGATGGAAGTTCCGTATTTTCCGCATCAAGATTCGTTGAACCATCTATAAATCAAACATCAATAATAATGAGATTTCCCCTTCCCAATAGTGAGTAGATTTCGATTACTCTAATTTATGATTCTTTTTTAATTATATATATATATATCACACCTGAAACAGCAGGACTATGATCGCCCCCTTCCTCTTCTGAACTTTGTTGAGATTCTCGAGAATCGTCATTATCATCGTCACTATCCATAATTATTAATGATTATTGTTATATTTTTAAATAAAAGTTGGATTTACTGTTTTATCATTATATCTACAAAAATGTACGTTATCATTGGATCATCGGATCAATAAGTAGATAAGTTGTGTTCTAAAACCATCGATTCGACTAACAAAGCTGAAAAGGCTAAGCTAACATTATATTAAATTAAATCCCAATAACCAATCTTGAATATTTTGGATTCTTTCTTCAAGAATAAAAAAAAATGTTGATTTTTACTTCATTACCAAACGAATGTAAAACCGAAATCTTCGAACACCTTTTAACCGATCGGCAAACTTTATACAGATGTCTCTTAGTTAATCGTTTTTGGTGCAAGAATATTATACCTTCCTTATGGAGGGAACCCTTTAGATACAAAATACATAAGGTTTATTTGATTATTAGGACTTATCTCTTAGCACTAACCGCCGATGAACAATCAACCATAATACCTTTCAATATAAATTTTGAACATAATCAACAACCATTATTATTTGAATATGGATCTTACTTGGAAATTTTTAACTGTGCTTCATTTTTTGATGCTGCTTCCAAACTTTTAATAAATCAAGGTCATAAGGATACAGAATTTAGTTATTCTTGTCAAGCCATAGTGGGTGCAATCACAAAGATGTTAATGAGAACTTGTAGAAATTTAAAATCTTTAAACCTTTCATCAGTAATTGTGGTACCGGATTCTAGAATATTTGAATCAAGTAAATATGGTTTATCACAATTGGTAGAATTATGTCTTTGCCTGGAAAACAATTCACCAAAATCTTTGGAAATTTTAAATTATTTATCAACAATTTGTCATAATCTTTCTAAAACATTTTTTATTGTTCGAGAGGGGAATGATCCATTACCTCAAAATTCCATTAATTCACTGGTCAATTTGATTATGAATCAACATGAACTTAAAAATTTCAAACTTCATGAAGCAGCAAAAAGTGTGAATAGAATTATTTCATCATTCATATCACAACAAGATTCATTAACAACAATCTATTTTTCAAATGTTTCATTTGATAAAATTTCAAATGATTCATTGGAAATATTTATAAAATGCAAAAATATAATTCAAATACAACTTTATTATTGTAAAGGTATCAAATTATCACAAATCAAAATATTAAAGAAATCACAATTCATTTTAAAGTCTTTAATTCTATATCAAAATGAAATCAATATATCAACATTAATTGATATTTGGGGATTCAATCTAGAACATTTAGATCTTGATGAACTTAATTCAGAAATTATTAATTTTATTACAAGATGTTGTCAAAATCTTATAGATTTAACTATTAAAGGATCTTTTGATAATCTTGATTTAATTTTTCCTTGGATAAAAGGATCCCAATTAAAAGTATTTAGTTTAGAAAGAACTAAATTTGTAGGATATTTCTTTGGTAATGAAATTAATCCTGTCTTTACAGAATTAGGAAAAAATTTACCAAATTCATTAAATTATTTAAAAATTAAAGGTTGGAAATTAATGGAAAATGTTTTAGGTCAAATTTTAGAAGTTTGTAAATTGGAAATGTTGGAAATTTTATTAATTGAACCATTTTCAGAACAAATTAAATTAAATCATTTAATAGATATTAAGGAATTTTTAAGACGTAATCGAAGTGTCAAGAAAGTTGAAATTAATTTTCATAAGACAGAAAATCCATGGACAAAAGAAGAAGAAAAAGTTATAAATGAAATTGAAGAGGAATTTGATATTAGTATTATAAAAAATGAAATTTATGATTAATATTTTTAAGGTAAATATTAAATATTTATTATTATTGTATTACTATTATATTTTTTTAATTATATATATATTTTTTTTTTGAATTTGTAATTATTTATTATATTTTTGAATTAATTTAAAATTATTATTTTTTTAATTTGTTAATTTTCATTTAGATTATTATATTAAAGATTATTATTAAACTTATTTGTAATAAGCTTAATAATTATTATTTATTTTAGATTCTTAATATTTATAATTTATATTATGATATGTAAATAAAAACATTATAATAAATAATTTATATAAAATTATGCAAAATTAAAAACTCTATAAATTTTAAACAAATATAAAATAGTAATAATAAAAATTAAAAAATTTAATACTTATATTTAATTTGAATATTTAATTAAAAAGAAAATTTAATTAATAAATTAATTAATTAATACAAGCTCATAATTAAATATAAAGAACTTTTTATATTGATGTATAAAAAATTAATATAAAAAATTAATATAAATATTAGTTAATTTATAAAATTTATTAATTTTATATAAAAAAAAACTTTATTAATATTATATTAAAAAAATTTTTTTTTGTTTCAGTAAAGTCTTGTCTTAAATTTATTGATTAAAAAAAAAAAAAGTCTTTTACATTATTATTTATAATACAAAATATATAACTTATTTTAATACTTAAAAAAATAAGATTTAAATTAACTCATATAAGATATGTCTACAACCTACCATTTGGCAAGTAAACTTGTTCTCAATATGTTAAGACCCTGCTGAATAACCTATTTTATACAACTCAGTTTAGCTAATAAGTTTATTAAAAAAATTATTTATATATTTACGTTTATATTACTATAGTATTCTAAAAATATTTTATTCTACTACAAGATAATACTGCTACTGTTATTACTATTATTGTTATTTATGTTTACACAGTTAATAATGTTCAAATTGTTTTTATCAAAAACTTTTCTCTTCCTAAAATTTTTTATATTATTATCTAATTTCTATCATTTAACCTCTTGATATCTTTGTAACTAAATTTCTTTCCTTAAATATAATTTAAATTTAACCATACTTATTTGTAAACAATAAAGTATTTTATCTCTACAATTAAAAACTATGTTTATTTCATTAAATAATGTATTTGATGTTAAACCAAATATAATATTTAAAAAATTAAGTTTTTAACTATTTCTTATTATTGTGTTTGCTAAAATAGACAATTCCTTCAAATTATAGTAGTAGCACAAAAATAATTATTATCACCTGTTTTCTTTTTTTGTTCTTTTTTTTGTTTATCTAAGAGCCTTTGCTTTTCATTAATCCTCATTATATTTTTTTTTTCAAATATCTTAATTAATTTGTTGGTTATTTGATTTGTTATAATATTAACAAATTTCCTCTTATAGATTCAAATCCACAAAATTACTTGAACATATAAATACATATATACAGATTAAATACAAAAGATATGTTGTACTGAAAAAGAATTCTGATTTTTGCTAATTTATAAGTATCAGAAAATTTAATAAGGCATAAATTTATGGAAATATCATATTATATATGGAAATTTATATCTGAAAAATTTAATTTTTTAACTTTGGCCAAGATTTAGGTGACAGGAAGTGATTTTCTACTAAGATATTTCTAAGATAGATCAAAAACCCTGATTTCAACTACAAGATGATATATATTTCATTACTATAGCATCGATATTCGTGAAGAAATTCACGCTTAAATTCAAATGTCCATGAAAATTTATGCCATAATTTTTCCATAAATTTTCATAATTCTGTCAGAAATTTTTGTGACGTAATAAAAAATTTCTGGCAGAATTACGAAAATTTATAGAAAAATTATGGCATAAATTTTCATGGACATTTGAATTTAAACGTGAATTTCTCTACGAATATCGATGCTATAGTAATGAAACATATATCATCTTGTAGTCAAAAATTAGGGCTTTCGATCTATCTTAGAAATATCTTAGTAGAAAATTGCTCCTTGTCACCTAAATCTTGGTAGAAGTTAAAAAATTAAATTTTTTAGGTATAAATTTAATAGGATAATCAATTGTTGCTAATTTTTAGTATAGGAATTATCATTTAATACAGTGATGTATTTAACTAGTTATATAATTGGTCTTTTTTGTTATTTGCACATTGTACACTATACCTACCACCCAAATTCAAAATCCAAATGCCAAAATCCCAAATGTCAAAATCCCAAATCCCAAATTCCAAATTATGATTAGTATTTTTTATCGAAATCCCAAATCCCAAATCCCAAATACTAGTAATTTGGGATTTGGACAACACGTATATTGTACACATGTATTGTTTACATATATTGTGAGAAATCTATCATATATTTATATCAATATTGATAGTTCATTATTCAAAAGTCTAATATTAAAAGTTTTTGTATATATCTCATTGTTACTAATTTTTGATTTGTTTTTATTATATTTATTCAATACAATACTGATGTAATTTGACATATTATAATTTTTTATAAGTATTACTAAGTAAATAATTCACAAACATAATTGACATAATTATTTCACTGTAAAGTATAGTTTTCATATAATAAAGTGGTTGTCTGTCATGTTGATTTCCAACATATATATTTTTTACTTTTTCTTTCTGAGATTGAATAATATATTAAAATATTATATTTTTTAGTTTCAATAAATATTAATAAAATGAAAAAATGTTTTGATAATTTCTATAACAATTTCAATTTATAATAACAATTTTCTTTCTTTAATATAACTAGTGTTCCTAATGAATCAAATTATATATGTTTTCAAATTTAATTTTTAATTTTTGAAATATTTCATCTTTTTAAAAATTTTGATATATTTATTTTATATTTGGAAATAAAAAATTTATCCAGTTTAATGTATTTCAATTAAAGAATTTATCTGGTAATCAAAAAATTTTGAATTTTAAGTTGTTTTCTATAAAAAATTATTTTGACTTTTGTCTTTCAAAATATTTGACTTATTATAATAGACTATTTTACATATAAGTATAGGTCAAGTCAACTTAGATGATCCTTAGATTGGATATAGGTTAAACTTATACGTGTTGCCCAAATCCCAAATCATTTGGGATTTGGGATGCCAAAATTCCAAATTACTAGTATTTGGAATTTGGGATTTTGGCATTTGGAATTTTGGCATTTGGATTTTGAATTTGGGTGACAGATATAGGTTAAACTCAGAAGTTTAAGATTATAAATTTTTTAACTCAGAAGTTTAATATTTTTATTGTTAAATATCTTGAAAACTAATGTAAAAATTATTATTATAATACCAGTAAAATATATGTAAAATGATACAAGAAACAATTTTTATTAATACTATAGATAAATAGAGATTGACATTAGTATGTAAGTGTTAAATTTTCTTAAAAACTGTTATTTTTTAATATTATTTATTATATTAATAAAAATTGTTCCTTTTATTATTTTACATATATTTTATTATTAATATAAAATACAAAATTTTAAAAATAAATTTTTTTTTAATATATTACACATAATTGACATCGAATTTTAACCAATAACAACATATAATTTAAGATCACACGTTATTTTATACTAGCGGATACCCATGCCGTTGCATATCTGATTTATTCCAATTTTGGTTGTCCATATCAATTTCTAATTTTGTGGTATAAAAATATAATTTTATTGGCTAGATAAAGAAGCATTATTATTGGTGATTATAATTGATGATTTGTGCAATTTGTATAATTAATGTGATAATGTGATGCGCAAAAAAAAATAACATTCCACTGTGTATTATATAATAGATAGATGGATTTATAATCAATTTGAATTTATAGGATTAAATATCTGTCATATAATTTCTTGAGATAGAAAAGCTTGAGAGAGAAAGAAGTTATTAGTCATAACCTATATTATTAGGTGATTGGTGTTACTGGCCATTATATACTATAATCTCTTATACAGATGGATTGTACTATAAAATTTGTCATGTATGAAATCAAAATTATGAATTTTCAAAAAAAGATCTTTGAAAATATTTCAACTATTCACCGATTTAACCTTTAGTTGTTTCTGCAACTTTTTCGTGTGTTCGTTAAACGTTACGAATTTTTATTCCTTTCTTTTTTATTATTACTTTATTTATTTAGTTATTTATCGATTTGATCGAGAAACGCGTTTTATTTGCTGTACCGAACTTAGTATATTAAAAATGCCCTTTTATAATTAGTTGCGCGAACAATTTATATAGAATATTATTTATTTTGTTTTTATTATATCTGTTTATTTGTTAATTAATAATTACATGATGACCCGTATAATTATAATTTTGATATAATTATTTTATGATTTTTTTTGTATTATTTTCAATTTTGATTTTTATTAAAAAAGTATTTACTGTTTGTATTACAAAATGAATCATTCAGCTATTATAGGAAATACAAGAATGTTTATATTTGAAAAGATAAGATAAATAGTAAAATGATATATATAAAAAATGAAAAAGGGAATATTTAAAGAAATCAATAAATAATTTTTTACCACTAGTTTCGGTTATAATAAGGAATTCAAGTTAAATGGAAATAGAACGTTGGTTTTATTTTTCACTCCCTTGTTGAGATTATTCATTCTCTTGTTGGGATTCTTCACTCTCTGGTTAAGATTCATCATTTTCAGATAGGTTTGGATTTTTAAAGGTATCGATAACATTCTGAAGATCTTGACAAATTTTTTCTTGTTCGTCCAATTGGGTCATAAGTTCTTCGATGAGAGATTGTTGATCGGTCACGGTGTTCGATTGGTCAACAATAAACGTGTTTGCAGTTTCCAATTCGCCTTGGAAATGGGCCCTATCACGATCTAATTGATTTTGTTCTCTATTTAATAAGCTACATTGTTTATTCAAGTCGACGAAACATTCCTCTAATTTGATTACTCGTGATTCTTCACAAGCCAAACGATATTCCATTTGACAAACATCGACAGTCAACACACCTTTTTCTTGTATAAGCCCTCTTTTTTCAGATTGAAGTTGTTCATTTTCAGCCAAAATCTTGGTTTTTTCATCGCGAAGCTTTTCAAGTTCTTCACGTAACTTAGAATTTTCCGAACGAAGTTCTTCCATTTCAATTTGAGAAGAAGAGTTATGAGGACGTGAATTCAACGTGAGATTTTTCTTTCGATTGAATAAATTTCTTTTTGTAAGAGAACTCCTTGTGCCAGAAAGACCTGAAGATTTATTCGAAATCGCGATAGTTGTTTTTTTTCCATTTTTAGAATTTGGAACGAGAGGTGCTACACGCACATTTCTACCAAATTGTGAAAAATTATCATCGTTTTTTCGCTTCAAGAAAGAGGATACGTTTCATTTTATTTAGAAATCAATTTAAAAATTTATTCTTCTTTAAATTTTAAATCTTATGATCATTATTAATCAATTGAGAATATTAATTATGGGAGGTAGCCAAACTGCTTACCGTTGTAGAATCATTATTCAACTTAAGCGGTTGCCTTAAACGAGTGTGAAGTACCGGACTATGAATTGGTGATGTTTGTTGTTCTGCACTGTTGTGGTTCTTGGTTGTTGCGACAGGATTCTTTGTGGGAGATGTGGGAGATGTGGGGGATGAAGGAGGTAAGTTTTTTATTCCAGCAGAAGGAGGTTTCAATTTTGTACTCATCGAACTAGAACGTTGCAACTTTGAAATTGGTAAAGTTCGTTGCCCAGCAAGAGTCTCATTAGATGCATCATTATTAGTGGTATGATTGGTGTTAAAAGTAGGAAGGCGTGAAGGTAGACGAGAGACGCTCAGTGACATTTTTTTTTTTTTTTATAAAAAAGCTCTTTAGAAAAAAAATAGATACTTCCAAAATAACTTAAAATAACTTGATTTATTTTTATAATACAATATACAAGTGCTAAAATTAATTTTTATTACAAGTGTTTTTTTAAGATAAACGTCAAGTTTTTTAGCACTATTATTTGTTACGGCTAAAATTAAAGAAAGTAAAGAAAGTACACCAGGCAAAAATTGATATGTTGATGAATCTTATGTCGCAAAAATTGTTTGATGCTTCTTTATATGCTTTTATATCGAATTTATTTTTTTGCGCGTTAAAAAAAACGTATCAAATCAATTTTCTTGTTATACACTTGTTATACACATTATTATTTCCTTGATGATTGGTAATTATAAGCAAACAAACGTGCAACGCATTTCTTGACTTCACCAACTTTTTTTAGACATTTTCGCACCACTTAATTTTAGAATAAATTAAAACAGTTTTATGTACGCATATCAATATAAAATTAATAAATTAATAAAATTAATAAAATTAAATTCCAAAATTCATAATCCGGGAAATACAAAAATAAATATTAAATACTGTATATTAAATACTGTATATTAAATGTACGAATGTTGTGATTTATTTAATACGTTAATACGTTGATACGTCAATACGTTGATACATCAATACGTCATTTCATCTCTATCACGAGTTCGCTCTGATTAATAAATTTTGTAAAAATTTTAACGTTGCTTATACAGACATGTCAGTCGCCTCCGTTGCACCCTCAGTTTCAAGTTCACCTCCTCGTCCACAAATTTATACATGTTTGGCCTGTCAAGTCACTTTTGATGTTGCCGAGTCACAAAGAAACCATTATGTTACTGATTGGCATCGTTACAACTTGAAAAGAAAGATCGCCGAATTGCCACCAGTGACTCATAATGCATTTGAACAAAAAGCTTTAGCTCAGCAAGCTCTTAACCAGAATGCAGTTGAGAAGGCTAGTTTTTCTGCAGAATGTTCCGCTTGTGGGTAAGTAAAACATCATTATTTTTTTAAAGAAAAAAAATATTATTACTCATAATTCTACAAATTATAAATTAATTATTTTTAAAAAAAATTGATAGCAAAACCTATTATTCAGAAAATGCCTACGCGAATCATTTACATTCTAATAAACATAAAATTGCTGAAATTAAAGCTACTCAAGAAGGTAAATAAATTATGGGTAATTGATTTATTTAATGATTTAAAGGTGCGATTGCGAATTTCAATATTTAATTCATTTAGGCAAATTGCAAAAAAAAATTACAATAAATTTAAAAAATAAAGAAAACCTTCAAGAAATAGAGCAGCTAAGCATTGAAGAGGTATTTATTATTTTTATCGTTGTTTTTTATCAAGAAAAAAATTTTTTTTTCACCTTCACCACTTATTAACGAAATTTAAATTTATGCAGATAATTGAAAAAAAAATCGCATCATCAATTAAATTGGATGAAACCGATTGTCTTTTTTGCATACAAAAATCCGAATCTTTTGATGACAATATGAGACACATGACCAAAGTCCATAGTTTTTTCATTCCAGAGATTGAATATTTGGTTGATCTTCATGGTCTTATCCAATATTTGGGTGAAAAAATTTCGGTTGGTAATGTGTGCATATATTGTAATGGGCGAGGTAAAGAATTAAAAAGTCTTGAAGCAGTGCGAAAACATATGGTATGTATTCACGAAATTATAATCTTATCGACTTCTATATTATTAATTCTAATCCTTATAATTGAATTGGATCTGTCGAATCAGATCGACAAAGGTCATTGCAAAATAGCTTATGATACAGATGAAGATATAATGGAAATTGTAGATTTTTATGGTTTTTCTACCGCTTGTCTTTCCGAGGATAGCGAAGGATGGATACATTTGGATGATGACGAATGGGAAAATATTAAAGAAAATGATGATAGTAGTAGTGGTAGTATTGCAGATAAACATGTTATTCCTAAGAAGTATTTACAATTTTTTTTTTTTTTAAATATTTAATATTCCAATTAATTGATTCGTTAATTAATTCGTTAATTCATTCATTCTTTTATAAAAAAAAAAGTGAATTGGTATATGATGAAACGGAACTGATATTGCCATCCGGTGCTCGTGTGGGACATCGTTCATTGCAAAGATACTATAAACAAAGTTTACGTCCTTTAGAGGTAAAAAAAAAATTGTTTAAAAATATTTACATTAAATAAATATTTACGAAAATGCTCATATGTAATTTGTAGGAACATGATTCTGTCATTATTAACCGCCTTATTACTCAATATGGTGAAAGTTTTGGGTACACTCGAAATTCTGGAGGATTGCTTATAGCCAAAAGTGCACAAGCCAAGCATTCTCGAAATTCGATCTTAGATAAGAGTTGTCAACTAGAATTTGATACCCGTGTTGGAATAAAAGCTAATAAATTACAACGTCACCTTCGAAAACAAATATTGTAAATAAAAATAAATAATTCGAAAAAATTATTATAATTATTATTAATGAAGAATAAATAATTTATTCGAAAATACTTTATTATTTAAATATTATTGTACAATATTTTTTTCTATAGTGTACATTAAATATATTAATTAAATATTAATTAAATATAATAATTTATTTATTATTTATTATTATTATTATTATTATTATTATCATTATTTTTATTCATATTATTCAACATTTCACGTATAAAAGTTGAACTCAATTTAAGATTTTTAATTTCATCACCTTTTAAAGAAGCATTTGAAGATGATATAACTTCTATAACTGAAATATCCAATGGATCGAGACCTCTTCTTTTTCGCTCTTCATTTACTGTACAATATATATATATATTTATTTAAAAAAAATAATAATAAGTCAAACTAAGTTTCACGCGAGATCCACAAGATCCATCCATGAGACCCAACGTAATATTATAAATATCATACTAGAATAAGCCCCGGAAATCGTTTCCTTGGATACGACTAATGCCTGAATATTTGGATCAGTAACGGTGGGACCGTATACGTCATATATCGGTACAACCTTATTCGATGCCAAAACTTATTATTATTATTATTGTTGTTGTTGTTGTTGTTGTTATTGTTAACCGAGTTATATATATCTTTAAATTAAATAATACCTCGTATATCAAAACTCGATTAATTGTATTTAAAAAATGATTGGTTTTTGCAATTCGCGTTTCAATTGGTTCCAAGAATTCTTTATATTTTTTATTTTCGAGCATGGAATCTCCTTTTTTAAATAAAAAAGAAACGTAAGATAGATAGATGTATAGACAGAGAGATATATATCGCGTAAGATATTATCGCTATTATCGCATAAGATATCGTGTGCAAGATATCGCGAATTTACCAGTTACACCACATATTAATCTTTGACGGGTAATCCAAGCTGACATGGTTAAAAGTATCTTATGTCCGGCGTGTATATGATCAAATGTCCCACCAACAGCAACATTCTTATAAATTTTGAACTTATTTTCAGGGAAATGGGTGAAATTATGAGAAGGTGAAAGAGGAGGTGGTGGTGGTGGTAATATGGAAGTATTAAATACGACGGTGGGGAGTTTAGTTAGTTTAACTGCTTGACGATTTTCGTTAAATTTTAAAAGTCGATCAAGTTCTAGAATTCAATAAAGTTTTTTTTTTCTAAGGCATAATAATTCATTTTTGAAAAACATCATACGGTAATTTAAAAAGTATTAAAATATTGAATTTATTTTTTACCTGACTTACTCCCGAAAAATACATCTAATTCTTGTCCTAATTCCACGGAATATCCACACCAATTTTCGAAAATGACATTTATTTCTAGAAAAGGTTTATTAAGTTCATAAGAAACTTTTGATCCAGATACATAAAAAGTGCATAATAAATTGTGAACTTTATCCCAACAATCTAATGAATAATTATTTCCATAAAAATCTATATCTTTACAGGAAACATATATAATTAAATATTTAGAAGTGTTTTTTACTGCTGATACGATTAATTCTCTATGATAATCTGAGAAGGATGTTAAAGATAATAATGAGATATGAAGTAAGGAAGAATCATAAGAAATGCAAGAGGAAGAGGACATTATTGATATTACTCAATGCCAGTTTTTTCGACAATGACAACTTGTGATTTGATAAAACGGATCAACCAATCAAGGGATTTTCCAACAATGCTCGTAAGTTTAAACTTTAGATGGGTAAGAAATTATAATTGAGAGCTATAATTATTATAACGATTATAATAATAATTATAATAAAGATTATAAAAAAGATTATAAAAAAGATTATAATAATGATTATTATAATGATTACAATAATTAACAATTTTAGAACAACATGCTCAGCCACCATTCAAAGTTCATATTGTTGGAAAAAATAAAGCTTTTGTTTGGGATGCCAAAGGTAACAATATGATATATTTAATATGTTTAATAAATATAAATATTTATATACTTTATTATTTAACTAACACATAACTTCAAACACACAAAGTCATTTATTCTCTGCGTAAGGATTATCACATAGTTGGATCGTTGGTAGGTAGTCTTCCACGTTTTCCATTGCAAAATCAATTTTATGGTTTACCTTTATCATTAACTCCAGAAGAGGTTACATTGCTCTTATCCGAAGGTAACACCCGGATAAAGATTTTTATTTATATAAATTTATATTTATTTGTTTTTTATATTAATATAAATAATAATGTTCATTATTATTTTTCAAAGGTATTATTGTATTAGTAAATGATGAAAAGAGTCATCAAACACCTACCAAACTACAAATTGAGGAATATGAAAAAAGTCAAAAAGAAAATGAAAATCATCAGTTACAAGAGTATTTAAGATCACAAAAAGAAAAAGAAATAGTAGAGATAAATTTTGCAAAGAAAGGAAAGCAACAACAACAAGATAATTATAATAATAATAATCATAATAGTAATGATAAGGATAATAATAATGATAATGATAATAATAATGATAATAATAATGATAATAATAATCACTACCATCATAGTATATCATATGATTTCAAACAAAAAGAAAAAAGAAAAATTGGATTTGTTTCATCAATAACCATAAAAACTGTATCAACTAATTCTTTTGAATGGTATAATGATGATAATCAAAAATTCAATACTTTAGAAATAGCCAAACAATCTAATATTTGGAATTGGCCAGAAACTGAAAGTGAGAAATATAAATTTAAAATATTTTATGATCTTTGGAAAAAAGGATATTTTATTACAAGTGGAATCAAATTTGGAGGAGATTATTTATTATATTCTGGTAAATTATTTTAAATATTTTAATACCTTTTTAAATAAATATTTTTTAAATTATTTATTTATTAAATAGGTGATCCATTAAGATTTCATAGTCAATACATTGCTACTATTATGGATAGAAATAAAATAATATCATCATTGGATATTATTACATTTGGACGATTGGGAAAGGCAGTTAAAAAATCTTATATGTTATGTTCTTGGGATCAAAACTTTGACAAAGGAATATATTTTTGTTTAGAATGGGCAGGATTTTAATTATTTATAACTTGTATATATAATGTCATTACTAATATGTACAGTATATATTATACAAGTTCAATTATTTAAAGTCAATATTTATATTTATATTTTATTTACAAATATTATATTAATTTATTATAAAAAATTATAAAGTATATTATATAAAAAAGGATTTGTACAATAATATATAAAAATATTGCAACATCTGATTTTTTTTAAAAAAAATTATGGTTTCTAAATAATATATTTCAAAACAGTTAATATACATTTTAATCTTTGAGTTTTGAAGATTTTTTTAAATGTTTTTAGTATTAAATATATAATTCTGATTCTGTATAAATTGATAATTTACATTATATATATTGTTAAAAGTGAAAAGTCTTTGATTCAATTCTAATTTTTTTCAATTTTTAATTATATTTACCTTAATAATTATATCAATTTACTGTGTAAAAATAAAAATTTTGCTTAACTCAATTTTAATTTTTTCTATTTTTAATTGTGTCTATATATAATTAACATTAGAAGTTGTCATTTAATAAATTTTCAATTATAAATAAATTTTATATAGAATAATTACAGTTAAGATGATTATAAGATTAATTGTCCTTTCTAAAAAAAATAAGTGTATCAAATTTTATAACAATTAAATTAAGAAATTAATTTATTAAAAATTTTTGTGTAACATGTCACGTTTAGTTTACTCTATATAAATTAATTACAATTGTATACCGATTAAATCACATATCTATTGTATAATGTATTACATTTTATATTGAGGTGGCACGAATGTCACGGAGAATGCTATACGAGAATTGTGGAAGGTTACGAAGGTCACAAGGGAGAATAGAAAGATGACAGTGACACCTGGATGAGTGTGCTACCATCGTTATCTTTTTCATCTTCATGTATCATCTTTTTCATCTTTGTGTATCATCTTTTTCATCTTTGTGTATCATCTTTTTCATCTTTGTGTGTCATCCTTTTCATCTCTATGTGCCATCCTCGAAGAAAGGATAAAAACGTGTTTAGACGTGATAAAAAAAAAAAAAAAAAGGAAAACAAAATTGGAAAGGTATAAAATAACCAGTGGATAAAGAATGGAAAGGGACGGATTCTTTTGGCAAGCTTCGGGGATTTAACACTTTTATTTTTATCACTTGACTTCTCTATTACATTTTATTCTTTTATTTTCATATTTTCTTTCTTTTTTTACAATTATTACAATAATTATAATAATTAAATAACTACAATAATCTTGATCATAGATAAAATTAGTAATAGTCATAGAGACAGTTAACAGCCTGTAATATTTCTATTGCTAAGTTCTGTAATAAATTCCAATAAACTGTTGTTTCACAAATAAAGTTACTGCGCAAAGATACTTTTACTCCACTTGCTCACGCACTTTCAAGTTGCACTTGTGTCATTTATTAAGTTTATTGAGTTGCTAAAAATTGTTATTCGCTGTATTAGGCAAGTGGCGACTTGACCCTAACAGCAAATAGAGAGAAATTTCGAAGTATTATGTACGACACGAGAGAATTGTAAGTACGTTGGATTATACAGTTGTGGTGCAACGAGAGCTTGAAATTAGTGAAACTGATTGACATAGCCTTACATATTATTCTGTACCAACTATACGTGTTGCCCAAATCCCAAATCATTTGGGATTTGGGACGCCAAAATCCCAAATTACTAGTATTTGGGATTTGGGATTTGGGATTTCGGCAAAAAATACTAATCATAATTTGGGATTTGGAATTTGGGATTTCGGCATTTGGGATTTCGGCATTTGGATTTTGAATTTGGGTGGCAGGTATAGTACCAACCACGACAATATGTTCTTGTTGTTCATATAAATAAATAAATAAAATTTTTTATATATAAAATTTTAATTTTCAAGAGTTAATTTATTGGTAATTACTAATTCAATTGTTATGAAATTTGACATGCTTATTCTTTTTAAAAAAAATAATTGATCTTATAATCACCTTGCACTGGTCAAATACAAAAGAATCATTGTACCAAATGGTGATTCCTATATTATAGATTAGCTAAAAATTAAAAAAAATCTACCATCCTATTATATTCTATATTACAAATCAACTAAAATTGTCATTCCTTTTCAGTACATCAATTTTTTTATATTTGACCTGTATTAGCTATAACTATTCTATAAAAATTTTATTCATAATTGAAAATTTATTAAGTAGATTATTCATTTATACAAGATCAAAATTATAATTTGATATTAAAAACATTTCAAAAAAATCTTCAAAACTTAAAGTTTAAAATATGTATAAATATTGTTTAGAAACTAGATTTTTTAAAAATAAAAAATCAAACATTGCAATACTTTTGTGAGTTACTATATAAAATAATTATATAGGATATATTTTACAATATAATTGATATAATTAATATAATTTGACATAATTCAAAATATTTACTATACATTATTAAATAACATAATTTTGATCAATGTAATTTGATATAATTATTTTATAATTAATATAATTTATATAATAATTTGACTATAAAATATAGTACAGAAATAAATATAAAGAAATCTAACTATATAGTAGTAATATGTTTATGAGAAAATTGGGACTGGATCCCTAACCTCAATATATATAATATTTTACTTTTTTCACCATACTAAAAGCTTTTTTCTTATATTGATTTTTATACTATTTTACTTAATTTTTTTCTCGCCACACTCAAATGACGTGTGATTTTTTTTGACTACATCTTCATATTACTACTCTGCTTACTATAAAAAAAAAGAGCAGGAAGCTAAAGGACGAATGTTCTGAAACTGAGTGTGATATGCATTAGTAAGCTTAAATTTAATATTATTTTCTTTATTATTTTAATTCTCTTCTAAACTTTATTTAGTCTTCTGTTACTGTGAAACATGAATCCCAAAGGATAAATGTGAAACAGTTGCAGAGTGCAGCAGAGCATAGTTAACATATTGGCTTTCAAAATTGTTATTAATATAAAATAGCTATATAAAAAAAACATCAAAATTTTTATCAATATAAATAAGTCTAACCTCTAATAAAAGATTTTTAGTTATTTTGTAATTCTTTTAGAATAACTAATTTTTACTATATCTCTTAACACCGAAATCCATTATTCTAATCATAAAGAATATCAAAAAAATATCAAAAAGTTAGGACAAAATTCTAATCTTATTATATATATATATCAAAAAAAAATTGGAACAAAGTTCTAACTATATATCTAAAATCAATTATTTTATATTTTCAAATTCTATTCCAATATATTTTATATATAAAATCTAATCTCAATATATATATATATCGAAAAAAGTTAGACTAAAGCTCTAACCTTAATATATATATTGAATTATATATTATATATCTAAACCCTAATCTTAATAATTAAAATAAAGATAGTATAATATAAATACAATGACTAGAAAACATAAAAAAAATCGTATTTGCGAATATTGTAATAAACTTTTTTCAACATTACAAAAACTTTGTCAACATTATGCTAGTAAAAAAATTCTGTTATAAACCTTTTAATATTAAAATAGAAAAAAGTTCAGAATCTGAATATTATACAGCAGATGAAAGTTTAGATGAATATTTTCAATAGATTACTTATCTAATTACTTGATTATAATAAAAAAAAATTTTTCAGGTCAAAGCTCTAACCTCAATATATACATAGCTAGAATCTAATTTTGAAATCCTAGCATATAATCTATTATAATACTGGACTAGGTTAACAACTATTACAATATTCCTCCTCTTTCAATTTTATTAGATATAAACATTCCTTACAAAGAGTAATATTAAGATTTATAAGTTTATCTCTATGAACATTTATTATTCCCTCATAAGTTTTTTCTTACATATTTGCAAGCATAACTTTAATGATATTAATTATTTTCTTATAAGGTCTTTTTTGTGTATTTGATCGAAACCTATCATAATATTGAGTAACATAAAACCCTCTAATATGCACTGGACATTAACCAGAAATTGATCCTGTAGGTTTATTACATTCAATATCCCTCAGGATACATACAGCTTTTTTTACAAACTTTTTCAAAATTATGATAGAATGGACAGGTATATTCACTAATCATTTTTATTATACTGAAATATTTATTTAAACAAAAATTTTTATAAAATATTATATACAAAACTTTAGATAATTAAACATAACACATATTCAAATGTCAACTACTATTCAAAATATCAATCAAATATTTACAGAGGTTGAAACTTCTCTTCCAACATGGCAGGAAATCGAAAAATCCATAATTGATATATTAAGAGCTAGCTTTTTCTATAACAAAGATAAAAATATAGGATTTATGGATTACTATAAAAAGTAACTTGATGAATTGCACAAATCAGAAGATCAAGAATAATACATTATAATTAAAACCAAATCACTTCTTCCTAATGAAGAAATATATGATACAAAAATAAAAGCATTTTCCAATTCTTATTATAAAAGTGAACCGAAAATTAAACAAGCTATTTTAAACTATCTCAAATTAATTCACAAAATCACTAAAGAATATTTTATTACGGATGAGGAAAGAGAAGAAGAACTCCAAGCATGACTTAACTCTTAAGTGGATTCAAAGAACCATTACTCTACAATACCTATTTCAGTGAATATTTAACCTTCCCAACTTTTATCAGTTGTTTTCTCACAAATGATCTTTCGGGTCTATTACCATTTTCATCTATAAGCCAGTATAATACCAATTGATTTTTTTGTATTAAGGATTCTTTGATATGATAAATTTTTGAAGACCAGTTCATATCAGTTAAGTATTTCCTACCAAATTCTAACTCTCCAGGTTCGAGTAAATATAAAACAGAATCTTTTAGGTTAATTGAGGTTCATCAAACTTAATAGACCTTTGATGTTTAATCACAAGATCTGCAATAATTTTTTTACCTTTTAAAGTTCTCTTCACAACTTCATTGGGAGACATGTGAATTAATCGGGTGTAAGTATCATTATAAATATCATCATTTAAATGAAGGCCTTTAACCCCATGATCGGTACTTTCAGATAAAGGTAAAAGGAAATCCACAACATCTTAACAAATATAAACATGTTTCTCAAATTCTTGATGATCACATTTAGCTATTGATGTACTAAGTTTAGATTTAGCTTGTATAATTTTTACGCTATGACTAACTAATAAATCTTTACACTCATCTAGGTATTCAATACCTTTATTCATGATTAAAACTTTCAACCATGTAAGATGATTACTAGAATTCTCATAAATTGCTTTAAACATTTTAACTAATGATGTGGAAGACTTATTAATTAAAGCATAACTTTTATGAAATCTAGTTGCTATATTTTTTATAATACCCTTATGTTTAAAAATTCGATTTCCAATTTTATTATGAGAAATAGGTATAAGATCTGACTTATGTACTTCATTTAAATCTTGTATCCTATTAAAAAAAGCATATTGAAAAAATTTAGACCTGGGTTTATAAGTTAAAAAAGTAATCTGTTTATTTAACCAGTTTTTAATATTTACTAACAAAAAATTATAATCAGCTTTTCTGCAAGCATCTCTCATTTTTTCAGCAGTTTGATAATATCCTTCAGGCTGGTAATATATTTTTTGTAAAGTAATATCCTTATCTAGTTCACGAGCTCTTCTGGGGTCAATATAAATTACAGATTCTTCCATTACTTATTGCGAAATAATGAAACTTCGTTTTTGATTTATTATAAATAATAAAAATTCATCATAGATGAATTAATACAGACAAACCAAAAACTCCATGAGGAAATCAAGCAATTGACAAAATTAAACTGGGAATATGAATGTCGAACTTATAACCTTGAGAGGGATATAATCCAACGTGAAGAAAGAATTTGGTATCTTGAGGAGGAGTTAACAAATATAATCGAACTTTCTATACAAGAAAGGGCAAAGTTGGAAGAGGAGATTAGAGATTTAAAAAAGATTGTTTAAAAGCTTAAAAAAGAAATCGAGCAAAAAAACAAGGAACTTATTACTAGAAAAAACCAACTAGTAGAATTTGATGTAAGGGAGAAGAAACTCAAAACTCAAATTTGGGAAATATCCAAATTGGCATGTAATACTTCTAAAACATATAATTAAATGACAAAGCTAATAGATGAAAATGAGCATTTAAAATATGAAATCGATACTTTAAAATATAATCTTAAAGATCGAGACAATAAATTAGTTCAGAAAAAAACTTATATAACTGATTTATATTGCCAAAATTTTGATATTAGGTTATTGCATTATTGAAATAGATTGGAACTTGTCAATATCTGAGAAATTTTGAGAGTTACAGAAGTATGGAATATAGATAATGAATCAAATTCGGAAGAAGATTCAAACGAAAATTTTCAGAATAGTAATACTTCTGATTTAAATATGATCACAATACCAGAATTAGCCAATACCATAAATGGCTATTTAAATAATACTAGAATAAACAGATCCGTTCTAGTCAACCAAATAAAAAAAGCTACAAGGCAAATTCGTCAAAAATATACTAATGATCAAACTTATTTAATAAATGAGCAGGAGAATTGATATAATGCTAAGATAAAGTGGGATTTGTGACAAACTGATTTGAATAAAGCCTTGAATGATCTTAACATGGTGACAACGGCATATAAAAATAAAAGAAATACATGTCAACAGTATTTTTTAGAATTACAACAATATCGTATTAAAATAGATATATTGAAAAATGATTTACATTTATATAATATCCAGCTTGATCTTAAATAGAGTAAGTGAAAAAATAGAACTCGAAATGCTGAGCAATTAATTTTAAATTTACGGAAACAAATTTTATTGCTACAAAATAATCCACTATTAAACATGGCTGAGGCTAGATGTTTACCAGTATTAAAATTAATGGCCTCCGCTCTTGCAAAATTTTAACTTTACATAGGTTAAGAACCACCTGATGAATATTTGAATAAGGTTATTTAGTTATGGATATATCTTGAAGAGCATATGACAGTTCTTGAAAATGTAAATCTGAGGGATTTTAATGATGCAATCAAGTGTAATATTTTAAAATCTATGATAGGTAAAAAATATATGTCAATACTATACATGTTCCCAAAATTGATTTTGGATTTTTGAGATATTTCGACTTTTTTGAAATTTATGTAAAATCTATTCTATATATGGAAGTAAAAAAAGTACCTAGTTATATGTATCTTTAATCAAAGAATAAATCTGAGTGGTCAAAAAATTTCGGGTTTTAAGTAAAATAATTTCATCTTCTATAAAAAATTATTTTGACTTTTTTTTCCGAAATTGCAATTTCGGGGCCCCAAAATAATTTTGTATGCAAGTATAGTCAGTACTAACTCAAAATAATTTTGTAAATCCTACAGTTAATATCAATAGTTCAAATATATTACGAGGTTAATTAAGAGCAAAATATCAGTAGGTGACCTATGGAAATCAATAATCAACTATACAAAAATTGACTCAGGAAAAATATTAGTCCTATGATACTTCAAATATCTATAAAGCTAGAATTCGACCATTATTATTAAGAGTAGTAAACAATGATGCACAAGTTTTAGGATTCCTAAAAAGCCATTTGACAGGTGATTTTTATACTTGGATGAGAATTGCTAATTCAGGACGTGTTGATGTATTTTTTACCAAACTAAAAAACATGTGGTTGAAGTGTGCACCAAATTTGAATGGTCAAGTTTTACAACAATCTTCTTATAACACCAAAATAATAGAAGCTCCTATAATTCTGCAATCAGTATTTCCTATACTCAATACACAAAAATGATTGATGAGGCATTAGTGAAACAAAAATCCAATTATGATGCTGAGATAGAAAAATTAAGAAAGTAAGTTCAATCTTCAAAAGTACAGAAAACATAGGTACCAGTTTCACAAACCGTTGAACCAGTTAGACAATCAAGAGGCTCCCCATCAAATTTAAAAATGGAAGAAGATTATGGAAAATATTATTTAACTAAATTCCTTAATGATTTAAGTATATATAGTAAAGAAGATTTAGATTTAAATTATATTGAAAAATCTTTTTAAAGATCTCATTTACAACAAAAAGTTAACTCTAGATTAGATGAGAAAGTAGATGAAATTGAAAATATGTTATCTCATCTTGATATAAATAATCAATTTCAAAAACCAGTAATTAAATTAAATCGTACACAATGATATTATCCCTTTCAATCAATAAATTGTAGCATTTCAGCTAATGAAGAAAATAATGGATATGATAAAGAAAAAGATATATGGTATGATTTATTGAAAAAAAAAACAAATATTACCAGTAAATAAGTTATCTTTAGAAAAGTTGAAGACTCAATACTTCGTATTATCTAACTAGCCAAAAACACATAATGAATTATTTTACCAGTAATACAAAAAATGTGCCAGTCTCATATAGTTTAGAAAAAAGAATCAGATAAGTGGTTTTCATCTCTACAATACCTGAATACTAATATAAACGATTTATCTATTTCTGAATCATTTTTAGATAATGGAAGTGAATTTGGAGCCTTAAATAATATAGCAATTAATACCCTTGGATGGAAAGCTGACAAGCCATCTGACTTTGATATAAAAGGTAATTCTAAATATATCACCGAATCATTGAGATTGTTTATAGATATGTCACATCAGGAAATTTTTTGGGCGTAAATTTCCGTAACACAAATGGAACCCACGGAAATTTACACTCAAAAATTCAATTTTTTTGACTTTGGTCACAATTTACGAGACAGGAAGTGATTTTTTTACTAAGGTATTTCTATGACAGATCGAAAGTCCTGATTCTTTGCTACAAGATGATATGTAAATTATTTCTGTAGCATCGATATCCGCGGAGATATTCACGTTTAAATTTTGAACGTCCATGAAAAATTCGGCGTAAAATTTTCTGTAAATTTTCATAATTCTGCCAGAAATTTTCATTACGTCATAATAAATTTCCAGCAGAATTACAAAAATTTACGAAAAATTTACGCCGAATTTTTCATGGACGTTCAAAATTTAAACGTGAATATCTCCGCGGATATCGATGCTACAGGAAT